CCAAGATAGCCTGGTGCTTGGTTGAGATCAGTTCATGGATGAAGAGCAGTTGCCTGGAGCTGAACGAGACAAAGATAATGATGGTGGGGAGAGGGAGAGGAAAGCACTTTGAGGAGTTTGCAGACATGGGGCTGTCTCCTTCCAGTCCGTAGTTTGAGTGTTCAGAGAATCATAGAAATGTAAGACTGGAAAGAACCTCAAGAAGTCATCTAGTACACCTCCTAGCACTGAGGCAGGATTAAGTGTATGTGCTACTGGATTTCTTGCTAATGCTAAACACTTCCTTAGCAGCATCCACAAGTAACACTTTCTACCATCTCTGGTTGGCTAGGAGGCTCCGGCCCATCCTGTCAATGATTACCTGATCTCAGTTATTCATGCTATGTCAGCTCCTGTCTGGACTACAGCAATACGATATTCCTCGGCATGATTTCAACACTTATGAAACATTGTACAGAACATTGCAGCATTTTGCCTCAGCAATATATTGTACTGTGAGGACATCACGTCTATCCTTTCTCTACACTGGCTACCCCAGAGAATTCTGAATAAGGTTGAAGGTCTCAGTTCTTATTCTCAGGATGCACAATGGCCTCGGTCCAGCACAAAGACCATGATTAACAGCTCTTCCTCAGGCCCAATGGAACGCTCTACAGTAAGGGTAAAACTTGTCGGTGCAGGAGACAGAGATTTCTTGGGGACCAGTCAGAAAACATGGAACAAACTCACCTAGGAACTAAGGACAATCACAAATCTCACACTCTTCTACTCCAAGGGCAACACACACATTTTCAACCCCGCCTTCTCTTAGGTAAAGGCATAGCAGAGTGTGTGTTTAAAAAACAAAAACAAAACACTATACGTACTGCACACACACACACGTCTCCTCTGGAGAGGATGAGTGAGAGAGTGAACCAAATATGACAGATGTTGATCACATGGCTTAATGCCTTATTGGAAGGCACTGAGATACTACAGTGATGAGGGTTGTATAAGAACCTATATAGAAGTGTACTGAGCAGTTTCTCTGATGTGGGCATTTCAGGTCATTTATGTCTGGAATTACAACATCCTTGTCTTTGAAGAATTGCTGTTTAACAGACTGAGCAGGAAGTGAGATCCCAGAGTGAAATGCTGAATTGTTAATGGCCTTAGTTTGTCATAATAAATAGATGGGGATCTTGGAAAACCATCTGTGCCAGAACATTTGTTGTATTCATTAGCTGGAATCAATGACCAAGGGCATGCAATCTTAAAATGTTTGACAAATTGGGTGTGTCCAAATTCTGATCTGAAATGGCAGTCTCCTGTAGATCTCTGAAGGGTCATAAAGCATATACCCCTAAAACCTCTCAGCTCTGGGCACCAGGACCTATTGAAAATGTTAAGTACAGTATGTAGGTGAGGGAAGAATACTTTTCTCCTCTTGGGAGTTTACTGGTGGATGAAAGGACAATATCGTTGAACTGATAAGTTGCTCATCTAGTGACCTTGAGTAAATATTGGCAGCAGGCATTTATCTGGTCCCTTGTCTCTTTGATTGGCAGGACTCTTTCTCCTACCAGTCAAAAACAATCCCTAGAACCACTACTCTGAGAAAAAAGGAAGGTAGGCTGTAAGGGGGAAGCTACTTTTGCTTGGTTGGGCAAAAGCCAGTCTTGTTTACCAGGGCCTGGGTTTCATGACTGAGAGGGCACTATTTACGGAAATAAGCAATTGAGTATGGTGGGGGGAGGGGCGTTTGGTGGATGAGAAACAGCTACTCAGACCCAGAGGAAATCTGTCTCGTTCCTTCAGCAGCAACACCACTCATGTAAATGGGCATTTGAGAACCTGGTCTGGTCAAGACCCTGGGCGTGAGTGGCAAGGCTGATACAAAATTGCTCACTGTTGGCTAAAATGGTGGAATGCAGAAACCACTTTCATCCTTTTTAAAAAATGGGCTTATCAGCTTTAAATACAAGATAAAAGAGATATAGAAAGGGGGAAAGAATATCATAGCAACAGGAAAGGACTCCAGGAATAGTGCCAGAAATCTCCTGTAGGTTCATTGCTACTCTCTGTCAATGTGGGAAGAATAAATACCCATTTGATCCAAACTGCATGTGCAGGATGGAAGTTTAAAACAGTTCTATTGTGTTTACACCAGTCAAGCATCAACATTTTCATCAAAATGAAAACAAATCCCATCACAAGTATCCAAGAAATGACATTTGCTAAATATTCCAGATATAAACTTCCAGGTAGAATGCACCTGATCTGCAAATGCATTTTGACAGAATATAGGCTGCAGCACACCAGGAGCAGAGGGACGAGAGTTGTGAAAGGGTTAAGGACCTCACATTGCTCCAAGACAAGCAGACTGTAAACAAAAGCTGTTATGGCCAAATATATCACTGTAAAAAAAAAAAGTAATTAAGAGAAAATATTTATTACTATGGTGGCATTGGTATAGAAGAAATGTAGCTGAAATGTTGAACTTGTGCTCAGTTCTACATAAATTACATGCATATGAAGGCCCAGATCCTCAAAGGTATTTGGATGCCTAAATACCTTTGAGGAGCTTGGCCTTAGTACTCAGTTTTAAATTTTAGTAGTTTAGCCAAATTCAGAACGTAGGTACCCAGTTCAGACACCTATGAGCTGATTTAAACTCCTCTGCGTTCACAAAAAAGAATGAGAAAAATAAAATCCAGTTATAGAATAATTAAAATGGGGAAAAAAAATTACTATTTTTTCTCCAGGCTGACATATGCTGGTTTTCTCATTCCCTCTACACAAATACACATTATTGACCTTCTTCCTAACTTTGTAACTAACCAAACTTTATCCTAAACCGGGCTACAAACAGAGTTTACTGAATGGTTTCAAACTACTTTAAGCTAACTAACTCGGTTAGAATATAATTTAGGATTTAGGGAACTTGGCTAGAACACTTTCTAAACTCTATCTCAGGGGTGGCCAACCTGAGCCTGAGAAGGAGCCAGAATTTACCAATGTACATTGCCAAAGAGCCACAGTAATAAGTCATCAGCCCCACTCCATCCCGCCCGATCAGCTGTTTTGTGGTGTGCAGGAGGCTGGGGGGTGGAGGAGAGAGAGCGAGGGCACAGCAGGCTGAGGGGGCAGGGTCTGAGCAGTGAGTACCCCCTGGCACATTGAAAAGTTGGCACCTGTAGCTCCAGCCCTGGAGTTGGTGCCTATACAAGGAGCCACAGGTTGACCATCTCTGCTCTATCGGAACAGAGTTTAGCCCTATTCATATTGGTGGCTCAACATGTTTCAAATGAGCTAGCTTGAACAATTTCAAACCTGCCTTTCCTATCACTTCCTTCTCTTGACTCCTTTTGTCCTATTCTGCCTCTTTTTTGTATTCTTGTGCCTCAGGACTAGTGTAATCTTGCCTCATTTCCTTTAAAATCTGGTAACTACACTACCCTTTTATAATTACCAAATTAGCTCATTGAAAATTTTAGTAGTTGCAGGCTTTACAAATGGTTATATGACTGCAAAGCTTTTGCTTATTTACACAGGTGATTACTAGGCCTGGTTTTCCACAGCATCAGTTGTTGTATACTTCACTCCCCACCCCTCTTTTTTTTTCAACCTTCCTTGGACTTTTGCATCCAATATCAGTACCAAAGAGTTCCTTTTGATCTTAAAAGGAATCTGTTTTGTGGCCTTAAACTCAACTGAAGAAAGTTCTGCTCTAGTGACGACTTAGTTGATCTAACCAGTCAGGATTACAAGGGCAAACTGCTGAAAGGTCACCGTCCTTATAGATTTCTTGGCTCTTTCACAAAAGTCACTTATGGGCAAAGCAGTACAGGTCACTCTTTTCAACACTCCCTGGACTGTTTTTGCTTATACCAGTTGCTTTTTTTTTTTAAATTTATAGTTTGCCTCCGTTTGTAAACAAATAGCTTGCCTCACTGCAGTCAATATTGAATAAGGCTCATTTGAGATCTGTTTATCATCTTAACTTTCAGAATGGGGTGGATCAGAACTAAACTTAGATGATATATATTAATATATTTTCTGTTTTTGTCTTGAAACCGATCCTATATGCATTTTCTGGTCCTTTTATAACTAGTAGTTTCTATATAACTAATATTTTAAAAAGATAAACTGTTGACCAGCTAAACTGATAGTAAAAAGTCTACAAAGACGTGTACCATGTCTCTCTCTACCACTCAGTCTTACTTGAAAAAAATTCAGTGTTAGTTTTGTACACGTAGTTTTAGAAGAATATATAACATTTGATAGGCTTCCAATGCAACTGATATTTTGATTAGCTCACCTGTGTTGACTTTTCTGTTTGAGTAAGTTGATGGAACTGCTTTGGACCATGCAGATTGTATAGGACTGTCTTTCAATATTATTTTGGACAGTTCACTTTAAAGCTATGTTACTGACGTTGAGTGGTTTTAAATTCTGATATGGATTTTACTGCTTCTTGCTTTTCATTTGATACTGTATATTCTTTTCTGTAGAATTTCAATCAATAAATAAAAAACATTAGATTTCGTTCCTATTAGACTTATTCAATTTCAGATGCAATTAACAAAATGGTCTGAGAAGAAACTATAATAGCCACAAAAAGCTTAATCATGTAATTTTCCTCTTGATTTACTTTGTGGCAAGCTCCTGCCAGTGTCAAATCTTAACCTAGTAGTATATTCTTAGTGATAGGAAGCTACCTCCCATGTTTGTTGAAGCCCCAGTGACAAATTCAATACAGTGACTTATGCACAGAGATGCTGACTCGGTGTTCTTGCATGTTCTTGCGGGGGGGAGTAAGTTTCTTTGTAGAACTTTGTTACATAAGAAGCCCTTGAAGACATTTTGGTTTCTGTACATTCCTCTCTTTTCAGTAAACTGATAAACTTGACTTGACCTATCTCAGACTATGAAATGTGTAACATCAAGATTTTGCCCATATACTGGACTCAATGTTGCATATTAGTACAGTAGCAAACCATTGGAAGAAAAAGACATGCTAACATGAAAAACACATTTTATTGCACTTAAGTTATAAGAAAATAAAATTTCTAAGTGAATCAAACCATAGACACAATCCCTTTAAAGGTTGTTTTCCTCCATCATGTCAGGTTGTTACATAACTAAAATTAACCAACTGGAATCTGATTGTTTTCAATCAGACTATAAATAAAACAAAACAAAAAAGGGAGGAAAAACAAGATCGCCTAGGATACAGTGTTAAACCACTTTCACAGTTCAGCTTGAGTTGTGGCTCTTGGAGAATGAGGCAAACCATTTGACTTTTTCTTTTTTGTTTGCATGTACATCTTTATTACAAAAACGTAATAGTTTTTGCACTGTGTCAGTTCCTTGCAGCAATAACTGTAACAGTTGTTTTTCTCAATACTGTAAAACACTAAGACTGACCAGCAATTTTATTTTTGTATTTATATTTTTAAAATTTGTCAGTTTTATTATGCATGTTCATTCCATTCACCACAGCCCTCACAAAGAAAAAAGTTTCCCCACAGAACAGGCTGCAATAGCTTTGTTCTAAGGAATGTGTTTTAATTTTTGCCCAGAAAAAAGAAAATAAGCTTTGCACACACACTCAATTCTTTACTTGCAGGCAAACTTCACTCTTAATTGTCTGAAACTTTTTAACTCTCAGCCTCTTAGAGGCACAGTTGGCTCAAGTTTCAGTGGCAAAAAGTCTTTTTCTGTAACCAAACTAGAGCAAATTTGGAATTCAGTCTGGGACTAAAACGTCACAGCAGAAAAAAAATTAAAAAACAAGAAATAATTTGCTTTACTTTCTTTCATTTAGCAGCATAAATAAGTTTGGCCACTGGGAATACAGTACAGGGGTGGGACAACAATCCCATACTTGAAGACCTACTTCTAGCACCAGCATTGAGAGTTAAATCCATTCAAGAACTCTCAGAACCCAGGACAACTTGCCACCTCAGAGCAACATATGCATTGTAGAGTGTAGATGAAAGCAACAGTAAATAGAGTAACAGAGGCTAATACTGTGATTGACATTGGCAATGGCTGGACAAAAAAAAAAAAAGACTCTGATAAAACTGTACAAAAACAATTCACAGTAAGATTTTAGCTTTTCCACACCAGGATTTGACTTTGTCGTTGCCACGGATGCTCGCAACTTTGAAAGTCATCCAGTAACGGATGTTATGCAGCAACTTTCTAGATCTCTGTGGTAAAATAACAGGTTAGCAAGAATTGTAACAACTTTTTAACCTCCACTCTGCTCAATGAGCACTTAGAGGAAAATAAAGAAATAATTGCACCTGGTTTGATTTAGAAAGTCTTATATTTGCAAAGCTGCCCCAGTCAAAAGTGAAGCTTTTTATGTGATGAGACAGCAAATGCCTCTCTTGTCAGTTACAGTTTGTCATCTTGCAGTCTCCTCCTTCATAGTCTGTAGGTCTTTAGGATCTGTTGCCCCAAGCCAACATCCTGCACCACCAAGGACAAGGGATGTATTTTTTTTTTTTTTTTTTTTTGCAGGGGGAGGGAAGGGAAACATCGTCTACACATTTGGACAAATTCATTTTTTTGCCCTTCACTTCATATCCACATCAAAGTCCAACACCAGCAGCTTTGTTTCCTCAGTTCCATTTCGGCTTCCAACTGCACACACTAGCTTTGTGTTGGAGGCTCTGATCCGCCATACAACGCCTCCACTTCCCCCACTCTCCAATGTGACTAGATTTCGGATAAATTCACCCGTTTTCAAGTCCCAAAGTTTTACAGTCCCATCATCTGAGCTGGTAATTACAAAGTTCTTGTTGAACTGTAAACAGGTCACAGCGCTCTGATGCTTGTTAGGACCTACAATAGTAAAACCAAAAGAATTTTGCTTGTGGTTAGAAAGGAGTGTAAGGGGTTACCATGTTTAGATATATTTGTATGCAAGGTAAATCAAATATTTAACATACACAAAAGCCTCATTCTGTGTTTTCAAAGGACTAGTACAGATATTGAAAAATCCCCATCCTCACAGTTGTCTGTTATTACTGTAACAAACACTGGGGCAAGTGTGTAGTCTCATCTGATTCATCAAAATGAACTTACCTAGTAGAAGGAAGTGATCACAGAATAAGTAATTATTACTCCCACCCCTTTGGGAAGAAAGGGTGGTCTGGTTCCTAGGTCATTGCTAAACCTTGATTGCACGAAATGGTGCTGTTGCTCAAGCGTTGATCTAATTTAAAATCCCTTCTGGTGGAATGTTACAGAACCCCCACAGACAAAACTCCAGTTGAAGTCAGAGTTAAATATTAACTCAAATAACAAAACTCTTTTTCTTTACATGTCTTTTTTCCCTTAAGCCATCCCATAGTAATTGTCCTTTAAAAGGTCAGAGCTTGTTTTGTCCAATAATTAAGCAGTGCAGGATGTTTTTTAGTGAAGTGGGTTTTCTCCCAGAACCAGGGCTGGCAGGCAAAAGCCAGGGAAAGATATTACAAAAGACTTGCTTAGGAAAATAAGTGAATGTGTGTACATGTGCACAGCGACAGTCAAAATGAAAACTAAAATCTGTCTCTTTCCTGTTTTTAAATGGAGGATATGTTTTCCATTCATTTTTCTTGATTTATTGTAACAGACAGTGTTCACTGCCTTCCAACCCAATTAGTCTGGAGGCTTTGGAATGTCCAAGTGACCTAAATAACTAAGTTGACTGGCTGATTTGAGATGCCATTTCCTACATATTTTTGTGGTTTATTAGTCTAACATACAGATAGCAAATTTCTATCAGAACAGCTGTCTTTCCATAATAGGCAAATGATTTTAGATTTAATTATATAAAAAGGTTTATTCACAGAAAGATAATTTCACAAATACAAAAAATAGTACAGCTGTCGCCATGGCCAACTTTTGAGCATTAAATGATCAGCAGTTGTTTTCCTTGCATATAGGTTATTTTTTATTTTTAAATGCTGGTTGGAATCTTTTCCCTTTCCAGAATGGTGCATTAAACAACACTGTACATTTAAAACACAGCTTGACTTGACCTAAAATTGAAACAATCTCCCCAAAGCTAATTTTGTCCTCTAGCAATATATGGGAAGTAGAAATGCTCAGATTTAACAGATATGAACAAGTACTTTGATATTAAGTTTACTATTTCAACAACACTCAGCACTGAAGCAATTGGTAAATTGAGGACTGACCTACACTAATTTTGCACCAGCCTTTTAGTATTTTGAATGAATGTGTTTATATTTGGATAGTATAAGCTCACCTTGCAATGTCTGTAAACACTGTCCTGTTTTGATATCCCAGATTTTGACTGTTGAATCTGCATTCCCAGACACAAGAATATTGTCTTTCAGTTCCATTCCACTTGTTAATGACTGGTGGCCCGTTAATGTGTGAATGCAGTTTCCCGTCTCCACATCCCAAACTCGGATTGAAGTGTCGAGAGATCCACTCACTACATGGATGCCATCAAACTAAAAAAAAGGTAAACATTACAAGCAATTGTATTAAGCTCTTATCATTCACACTGTGAAAAAAACATTAAGCGTGCTACTTGCATTTAATTCAGAGTTTCACAAAATAAGACAGTATACAGTATGACCTTGCACTATCCCCTACAACACGTTAACTAACAATGTTAAATACAACTTAGAACTCAGTGCAAAGCCTTATCATTAGCCCTATCATTAACCACGCGCACCTGATGCTATCAGGATAATTTCCTAGTGTAGACAAGGCCTATGGAGTTCTGCATTCAACACCTACAGATCTTAATCTTGACTAAGGAGAAAAGTACATACTGATAGACACTTTACTTTGACCCTCTCTTTGAATAGTACTATACATAGCTAAAAATTCAAGCAAACAGAACAGAAAATATTTGAGTGGTTTCTGATATTTCAAGCAACTGCGAAGAGTTTTAAAGGATCTTCTGCCTTCCGTGTCAACCTCCCTATCCAAAAAACATTTGTGGAATTATTTCATTTGATCAAATCAACAACTTCACTCTATGTAACATCTATCCACAGTATCAGAGCAAAAAGTTAATACAAGCACTTTGTCAGCTAAAACCAAGAGCCAGTGGTGGTGATCAGATAGTGAATACTGCACCTAAATCATCAATTAAGAAAGAATATGAATTTAAACCTTTTTGAAAAAAATTTAATGCGTTATACATCAGTGGTTCTGAGGACTCTTTCTGTAAGGACTAGCATTTTACATATGCTGTCCAGTCCACTATCATCTATGGGCTAGGTTCACAAAGGTGACATAGACTCAGCATTGCAATGCTAACTATACTAGGTGCTCTGATGTCTACTGGAATCTACAGCTGTGACATAGGTACCCAGGCTTCTAATACCGTGCACAGGAAAAGTTAGGTACCTAAGAATGGGATCAACAAAAGCCAGCAAGAAGCCCCCAGGGAGAGGGGTGTGGCTTAAGTCTAGGTTGGAGGGAGACATCTATCACCGCTTGGAATTCTCAGCCATGAACTCTTTCTCATAAACATCATAAAACCACACACCACAACCAGGAGGTGATAGTGCTGCCCTCTTACAACCTGTAGCCCACTGGTTACAGCGCTCAGCCAAGATGTGGTAGATCCCTCCCTCTGCCTGATTTGGAGCAGAGATTTGAGTCCATGTCTCAACTCTTAGGAGAGTGTCCTAACCACTGGGCTTTGGGATAGTTTGAGATGGGGTTCTCAAACAGTTCTACTTTGTACAAATAGTCATTAGAACAGGGATCTCCCACATTTACAGGTGAATGCTCTAACCTCTGTAGAGTCACTCTCTCTTTCTGGCCCCATGTTAAGTTAAGGAACAGAATGTGTTTATTAGAAAACAAGTATATTCAAAATTACTTATGAAATCCTTCAGTCTCTCAGTTACTGAGCCACACTTCCTGTGCCACAGACCAGCCTAGCAGACATGCGATTTCTTGTTTTTAATTATATTTACCAATTAAAAAAAAAAGTTTGAGCAAGTATTAGCCTCAGGCCTTTGTAACAGTAGAGGGTTAGGCACAGTACCAACCCCCCAGTTCGCCAGCCAGAATGCCATTCCCAGTTCTCCATCTGCTGTCCTGTATGACTGTGGTGCCAGCAAGCCCTAGCAAAAAATAAATCCCTAAATGCCTTCTCAGATTCTGGAAGTTGTTTCAGCTCTGCAGAGACTTGTTCAGGGTAGGTGAAAAGGTAGAGGAGGATCCACAACAGGTCTTCAACTACAAACTTTTACTGCATCGCTATGTTGGTGAGGGGTGTGATGAGATGTGATTTGTGACCAACATAGCTGTGCTGGCAAAAGCCCCTAGTGCAGAGTCAGTTATTATGGCAAAACAGCACTTCTGCTGGAGTGGGGGTGGAGGTGTGACTGGAATAAACTATGCCGGCAAAAGTATCCACACTTGGAATGCTTTGCTGATACACTTTACTGGGCTGGTACAGCTACACCAGCAAAACCTTCCAAATGTAGACGTGGCCTCTAGCATAGGTAAGCAGGGAGCTGATCAGAACCCTTCACTAACAGCCATTAAAATCCTAAGTCCACACACAAATATAAAGCACTGTTTTTGTTTTTATAACAATTCGTGAAGTGTTGCTAGTCAGGAACCCAACAGTTGTATACTGAAAGGGATAACATGCAAACTAACCCCTTATGTTTCAATAAATGCAATTTCTAGAGGACACACAAAATCTCCTTTCAAACATCAGAGTAAGAAAAAATTCAATCATACAAAGCTGCCAAAAGTTACTTGTTTTTTTGTAAATATCAGAAGCAGCTTCCTCTCTCCTTTTTGTGGCTATATGTCTTTTCAGCATTTATTTACTAAGTAAGTTCTTCTTTAGTTTGGAGTAAGAGAGACAAGCTCTGGTTTAATTTTAAAGATGAACACTACAGTTTTTTGGAAGTAATTTTTTCATGGCTGTAAAATATTCCACATGAAGAAGCACATGAATGTTCCAGCTACTGCAGCACAGATTGAACTAGTCTAGTGCTACCCTATATACCTTAGCACTATGTTCCTTCTCGAAGATTAAAATTCTAGACTACTATATACATGAACTTTCAGATTATCAAAGGGACATTACTTTTGGTTAACTTAGTATGGACTTAGCGCCTCAGTTGCTGATAAGCTATGAAAAACAGGGACACTGAAAACAAGAATATTCACAGCAAAAGAAAAAATAATGTACAATAAACAACGGTGATTTAAAAAAAAATCTTATTAATTCATACAGTGGTAGCTCTCAGAGACCCAAACTAGGATTTGGCTCCCATTCTAAATTAAGACAAGATATGTAGCAAGAGGAGGGAGGGAGGGAGGATGAGGGTAACCTGAATCTCTCTGTATTTTCTGGGACTGCATCTGCAGATTAGTAAGTATCCACAATTTTAGTAGTTTAACAATAAAGGTGGTGTATCCAAGGGAATCTAGAGCACTAGATGCAAATTGCTTACCTGTAATGAATAGACTCTATTAGTATGCCCTTGCAGTGTGTGTAGACAGGTTTCAGTCTCTGGATCCCATACTTTGACCATAAAATCATATGCTCCACTAACAACCCTCCTGCCATCATACTGAACACACCGGACTGCAGCTACATGTCCCATCAGAACATGTAAACATTGGCCTGTCTCTATGTCCCAAACTCTCAGCGTGGCATCTCGAGACCCACTGACAACTCTGGTGAAACACAAACAAAAACTACACTTAGCATATAAACTTCCATGTTATTTGTATCATGTATGCTAAAGCAGGAAGACGGATATATCAACCTTTTGTGCATAAAGCAGTTAAACTGAACTTATTTCTCTGGAAGGCGAGGTGGCCTGAGTACTAGTCCGCCTGCTTCCGAAGAGCTGGCTTGGCTTCACATTTTATTCAGGTTGAAAGTTAAAGCATGTTAGGTTTCCCCACCCTGTTCATCATCACAACACCAAACTATTTGGTGTGATTGGCAGTCAGTATTTAAGAGGAGAGATGCAGACTTGAATAACAAGATATTGCAGGTCAAGACTGAGGTGGGTTGGGAGAGCTGTATGTGACAGATTACATACCACCTACTTTTACATATGGTTAGCTCAAGCCAGTAATATAGTCTTGCTTTAATGAGCACTACACTTACCCAGTATTTGTTATTTATTTTTAAAACCCTCTTTGAAGGTTTTTCTTCATTATGCAACATTTATGTCACTTGATTTGTATAGTACATATCAATTTTTAAAATGTTTTGAACCTACTGAAACTGGAACCATAAATAGTAATGAAGATTACTGTAATTCCATTAACTATCTGGGCAGAAAAACCTTAGTTTTCTTAGAAGGAAAAGAAGGGATAAATAGCCAAGACAACATTCTAGACACAATGCAAAGCTTTAAAACAAATTACAACATCTCAGCCAAAGTCTCTTGAATTGATATACTATTGTTGAAATGAAATGACAGTGTAAAAGAAATTTAAATAAAATATATTCATGTCCAAAGACATTTTAAAAAAGGTAATTTTAAAATAGGTAAAGGTTTACAACAAAATGGACAAAAATAAGTTAAAAACAAGGACAGTTTGTTATGTAGCACAGCAGAATGGATCACATCAATAACTGAAACAACTTTGAAAGAAAGTTATAGGTAACTATTTGACTGTATATGGAGAGGTTTATGTCGTTTGTACTTTGGTTAATTCTCTCACACCTTTTCTTCGTGCAGTCAGCTGCTCTTTTCACTTCATGCTGAGTGTATAAATTTTAGTAATATTTTTACTGAATAGTATAGCTTTTGTATTGCACAGACCTTTACTGTTTTAGGACTACTTAATGAAATTTTAGGTACATTTTCCTTTAAAAAAAACAACAACACACAAAATAAGAAGCAAAAAAGATATCCAATTTTAAGTAAACATTTACCTTTTTTCATGGAGATGCATACAACGCACAGTAGAAGTGTGTCCATATAAAGTATGAATACATTCTCCAGTCTCCGCGTTCCATACTTTAAGTGTTCGGTCTGTAGATCCACTAATAATGATATTGTCCCTCATTTGTGATGACCAGACTCCACCTGTGTGTCCAACTAGTGTTCTTAAACACTGAAAAATATTTTGTATAGTTAGTAAGGTGAAAGAAATTTAATCAGTTCATATGAGGCCAGAACACTGTGATCATATAGTCTGACCTCTTGTATAATACAGGCCATAGGATGTCTCTGAATTTAATTGCTATTTGAACTCGAGCATCAATTTTGCAAAAACATCCAATATTGATCTAAAACTTTCCAGTGATGGAGGATGCACCACAACACTTGGTAAGTTTTTTCTAATGGTTAATTACCCTCAATGGGGCAGGGACAATTTTTAAATACTGGCACAACATTAGCTTTTTCCCCAGTGTTCCAAGGCTTACTGAAAATCAGCATTAATAATCCAGAGAGCGCCTCAACCAAATATTTTAAAACTCTTGGATGCAAATTTCTGGACCTGCTGATTAAAAGATGTCTAACTTTATTACATCCTCCTGAGTAATTGCTGGAATGGAAAGTATTTCATCATTAGACTTTATAAATCCATCATCTGGTTCCCCCAAATACAGAACAGATATTTATTGAACATTTAGGCTTTTCAGTATTATTGACTGTTCTATCATTTCCATCTAATAATGGACCAATAACATTGTTAGGATTCCTTTTCTTCCTAATGTACTTAAACAGCTCCTTAACTCTGCTCGCCACAGACTTCTTGTGTCCTTCTACCTCCCTTATCAATTTTTTACAATTCCTAGCTTCAATTTATATTCATTGATATCAACTTCCCCTTTTCCATTCATATATATTTTTATTTTAATAGCTGCTTTCATTTCCCCTCTAAGCCAGTTTGTTTCTTAATCAGTGTTGTTTCCTTTCTTGATTGTGGCTTTTTGGGCACCAAGTAAAATGTTGTTGAACAGTTCCCAATTATTCACGTTTTTCTGTTTAAATTCTTTCCCATGTGTTTTGGCTCAGAATTGTTTTCAGCTTTGTGAAATTGGCTTTTTCAAAGCAGTAAGAATATATTTTACTGGTTTGGACTTTATTCTGTTTGTACATAACAAATACAATCAAGTCATGGTCACTTGCATATAAGCGACCACTAAATTTTTCATTCTGTGAGCAATTTCTCTTTTTCAGTCAGGATGAGGTCAAATACAGAATTCTTCCATACTGGATGCAACACTTTCTGAATATTCTGTAAGGTTTGGTGTAAACATCTCTCATATAAAGATGTTTTAATTATTAGATAAGATGTTCCTGAGAACTTAAAACTGCTGAGAAGTCTTCCTGTCATGTTTAATTTCATATATTCAGTGGCACATTATATTTTTGAGAAGGAAGAATGTACAAAACACATGTTTTTCATTAAAGAATAACTCCATCCTGTCCTTTTTGATGAAAGAATGTTAAAATTGCACGGTGGTTTCTTTCATGAACTAGGCTTAGTGAAGGGAAGCCAGCTGAATTGGGTGTGGCTGCCTGCATACCACATTTTATTTTGTTCTTCCCTTAGTAGTTACAATCCAGTCAAGGCTCTTCGAGGCATGCAAAGACAGAAACTAAAACCTTTAAATACATCTAAGACTAATATTACAATGTGGATATCTTTTATATCTTAAGCTTGCCACTATCAATATTTGGGCTGTTGAAATTAGAAGATACTCTGTTGCTAGAATAAAGAGAAATAAATAGTCTAAGGCTATTTATAGCCAATAAAAAAAAATATTTGAAAAACTTAAAAACCATATAAATAAATGTGGAAGCCACAAGCATTAGCCAGAAACAAGATCCATGTGAATAAAGTCAGGATGAATTAACCTATAGGGAAGATAACGTAGTATGTGTCTAAATTTTCTGTAATCAATGTCAAAAATGACTCCACAAGAATAGAGCAGCAGCCAAGAGAACAAGGATATATGCCAATGGTAACATGAACAGCATTATAATTTCACATCAAGGTGACTTTCATAAAATAGACATATTTCGGAGTAGAGAAAGATTGCCCAAATATTTTTTAATATTCTATCTTTGTTTTGCATCAGACAGCAATAAAGGCAAAGATATAAGATGTTCTGGGAAACAGGATAAATTAGTTACACACTTTTAAGTTTGCTACTACTATGCCAATGGTCCATTTCATGGGATCTTAACAGCAATTACCAACTTACCTTGCCTGTAACTGCTGACCAAACTTTCAATGTGTTGTCATCAGAACCACTGACTATTCGGTTACCACAGAATTGTAGACATGTGATTACATGATCATCATGTCCTTTGAGCACCTGACAATAAAGAATGTGTGTTGCAATGTAAGCCAAAAGAGTAGAAGAAAATCAGAATCAGAATGGTGTACATCAGCAAGAAGCGTGTATAAATTACTGCAACTAGATTAAAAATTGAATCATCATCAGTCCTTATGGTTCAGATCTATTTTATTACTAGCTGGAGTCAGGAAGACATTTCCTTGATATAAAATGTCATCCATGATATAGCATTGCATAGCTGACCAGGTGCATTAACACTATTTTTACCCTTCTTCTAAAATAATTGAGATAGATCATTGCTAAAACTAGGATAACACGTTGGATAGACCACTGTATTCTAAAAAATAATTTTAAAAACATCAAATAAAATCTTTAAAAGCATGAGAATAATTTCATGGAAAATATTTTACCTATGAACAAAAAATTTGCTTCTGTTATCCAATGCATTTTTTTTATTTTTATGAACTAGTCTTAATGTGTACTTATATTCTTAACCACCCCACTCCTCCTGATCTACTGGGTACCAGATACTATCCAAAATAAGAACTATAGAAACCTTTACGTTATGAAGAAACAAAAGTTAGTTTGGCTGAATGAGAAGAAAATATGTATTTCCATGTTTGTGGATTTGAATGTCATTTTTCAAAAATGGCATTTTCAGTGTTTGATTATGGAAAACTGCAACAGATTATTTTTACTACAGTACAGTAAAGATCAATTACATCAGAACATGCAAATTAAACAAGGAATTTACTATTTAAAAATATCTGAATACTTTTCAAAATGTCTATTGATATGAAATGGGAAGCTGGGTAATGTCTGGGGCTACCATTTTAATAATTACAGCATAGCATGATATGACAAAAAATGCAGAACTGTTGCCAGAAACACACAGAAAGTTGCAGTCAGATATTCAGATAGTAGGAGATTTTCTCAGCTTTTTAGGTAACTCCTGTATTGTTGTGTTTGTTTAGTTTTCTGGTCTACTATACAAAAATTAAGAGAAGTCACAGAATTTCTCTAAAAAGACGGGAGTAAGTCTCTGGCTGTTCTTTATGTATAAAGGGCAGCCAGAGACACAATCAGACTTGATGATATGACTGCTACATTATTGCATAAATAAAGCACATTATGATACTATAATCTAGTATCAATATCATTAAAATGTGGGCATACCCTGCTAATGTTATCAGGCTGAAATGAAACAATTTTCATCTATATTATAGTACTTCATTTTTATTTTCAAAGGCAATGAAATCTTAAAAAGGTATGGTACTTTACTTTTAAAAAGTTATAAAAATGTATGTAAAAATAAGACACAAAATGAAAACAAATATCTGAATTTATGTAATAGTTTCATATCACAATCTAAAAATACCTTAAACACACGATTAACTTCATGCATAAGTATTCCTATTGAAGTGAATGGGAGTACTTTCATGTGTAAAGTTAAGTATCAGTATAAACGTTCCCAGGATTGGGGCCTCAGTGAAAATGTTGTTGCATGGTGCCACTAGTAGGATTTAACTCTACAAGCAGCAACTATATTTTGATTTTCTGATATGGTGCTGGAGTAAGGTATACAAACCCTACAAAGGAGAGGAAGAGGTTAAGGAGTTGATCTGGTCTCAGATGGCCTTGCCCCACCATACGTATAAAGCCTGCACAGACTGGATGCACTTAAAAAGGGAAGCAGACTATCTTTGTACCAGGCAGACAGTGAAGGTAAGTTGACCTGAGCTCTTGGGAAAGAATTTATAGGAGCTCTTGCTGCCTGAGGCCTGTCTACTGTGGCCTGACCAAGCCTGCAAAGGGACTGGTGATGCTTCGAAGATTAGAAATTTTATCTTACAGTCAATATTTTGCTTTATCCTGTGGAAAGAGAGGGGACTTAGTAGGAAGTGATCCCGCAAGGAAGCTGCATAATGCACCAGGATGCAGGATTTAGCTGCCTACCACTGGGGCCCTGGATTGGAGCCCACTGGAGTGGGTGGGCCCAGGCTCTCCTACAAACCCTTAGAAGGACAACTACAGATGTTCCCCTTTACAGATGCTCAGACGTTTTCATTTGGCTTAAAACAGGATAGGTAGAAACATACATAAATTTCTGCACTTTCTTCTTCTGGTTTAATTATTTTTAAGATAAAAATTGGCACAAAGGGGTTTAACACCCTCTTTTCAAGTTATGTTAGATGTCAAAAATGATTTAGTTTAGTCCAAAACAAAACTAACAGCTGACAGGCTGATCCTACTTAATTCTTGACATGTACATAGTTCAGAAATGGTTACCTTAGGAGATTTAAGTTCTCCTCGCCGCCAGTTAGTATCAATTCTGTGCTGTCTGATATAAGCACTTTTCCATGGGCTATGTATGAAGCCTGGTTTTATTACTTTCCTTCTCTTGATATGCAATGGTTCGTCAATCCCTAAAATTAATTTAAAAGTAAAAAAAAAGAATAAAATCTTGTCAATTCCACCAAACATCAACCTCTCTTCACCCCCAAACTTAATATATTATGGTGACATAATCACCTTCTCACCAAATACTGTTCCAACTTCATTTGTTGTCCTGTGCTTCAGGGATGTCATCCTGCCCTCCTCCCTATACTAGATCTTTTTCCTTTTCTTTAGAACTACCACTATTGTATAATTGGTCCTTTTTCATATTTTTGCTGAAGGCTTTTCAGCTTTGGTTCATCCTTTCTACCAATGAATACCTTATGTTTCTGTCTGTAGCCCACTTGCCTTCTCTATACATCTTTTCCCGCTGGTTCATCTAATTATTAGCTTCAATCTTGGTCGTTGCCAGTACATGGATAATTCCCACTTCTCCATCCTTCTCAAATCATTCTCTGGTACCTATATTTGCCAGTCTTGACTAAATTGTACTTTCAAATTACTGAGGGCTTCAAAGTCTGAAATAAATTTTCTGTGAAAAGAGTTCCCTCTCCTGTGTCATCCCTTCTGACATTTTTAATTACACATACTTGGTTTCCAAGCCTAAGAAGTTACAGAATCATTCTTGAACCCCCACTCATCTTTCTTTTTCTCAATACTGTCATAAGAACAAGACAAGAATATATCTTTATTTTGGCTCTGTCTTCAGTGAAACCTTTAAAGACAGGGATTGTCAAAGGAGGTTAACGGGATAAGAGAACTCCCACTCCAATAGGATTTGGCACCTCGCTACCTTAGGCGCCTTTAAAAATTACAGATTGATTCATACGTTAGTCTGTTTAGTGCCCTTTTATTGATTTCTCCTAAAGCCCTACTCTCTAAAATTCAGGGAAGGCTGGTTGTCTGTGTATGTCTCTCCAAGGTCCAGGGCCAGAGCACTGTAGTTATGTCACTTCGACATGCTAGGAAGAAAGAATGGTTACTTACTTTGTACACAGTTAGTGGAGTTCTTTGAGACATGTGGTCCCTAGCTGTATTCCACTCTAGGTTTGCATGTGCTCCATGTGCCTGACACCAAAAGAATTTGCTAGCAGTGTCTGTTGGTCCATCCCTTGCCTCATTGTGCTCTGAACTGAGGGCATAGGCGATACCAGTCAGCTTTGTGTACTTGGGGAACCAGGGCACAGTATCCAGCCTGTCTGACTCATGAAGGACACTCCCCCACCCCCCAGCCTCTGCTTGAACCAAAATCGATCAGAGAAAAAGACTTGCAGAGAGCAGTGAAGGGTCGTGGGAGACATACCTAGACCCCTCCTGACAAGGGTGATAGGATTAAGGCAACTCCTCTAGCCTCATCTGCATCAAAGATGGGACAGGGATGCATCTCTGTTAGCATACAGAATCAAGAAGAGATTACAAGGCAAGAACCGCACTGAACTCTGGGACCAGAAAAGCAAGGAAGCACTGGATCCTGGGGGATCTCTGCTCCAGATGTTAATGAACCTATGCCTGCACACACCCAGCTCAGCAGTTATCAGTCTAATTTTAGTAATGAATCCTTGATTGATATCCAAAATACCGAAGCTGCCTAACTGCATTGTGAGCTCCCTGGAAGGAACACCACCCATAGCCAAGAGTGATCAGCTCCTATTGTCTAGCCTTAAAAAAACCCTTGAGTCATCAGTTTTCCCATAAACAAATCTAGTGTTCTCCCTTGAACCATTGTTGTTTCCCTACAAAAAACCCTACCCACACTCCAGTAAGTGTTCTGATTCATGGATCCAAACGCTGCATCAGTTCCACTGGGACTCCATCTTCTCCTAACTGATCGTGCTGGAGGCTCTGCCTGTCTCCAGCACTCAGGACCCTGAGCTACCATCATCACCTGGGAACCAGTTCAAGTTTCCTGGAGTGGTGAGATCCCTCTCTGTCTGTTTTCTTTTCTACCTCAGGCATAACTTTCTAACCCTGACTTGTTTTATCAGGTATGGGTTTCTATATATGACTTTTGTAACCTTTAATAATGTAACTTATGTTGGTTTAGGCTCTTCTTGTGTAGTTAGCATGGTTATTCGATAAATAACTTTTATGGTTAAGCTGGTTGCTTCCCTCTCTCTCTCACTGAACTTTACTCTTTTGTGTTTTTGGCTTCCCCCATTTACTCTGCAGCAACACTTCTTACCTAAGCTAAAGATCCCTGTAGCGCCCAAAAATACTATGGGGTTTGCTCATCAAGTGGGTTATTACCAGTACAATTGTAATATGAAAGTGGGGATAGGGACGTGCTGAACCTGTGACATACCAGGACGGCAGCTTGAAAGTGCTGCTTGACCCAGACTGCTCGGGCTTACTCTATTCCGGTGAGGTACCTGTGGTATATAAGGGTGGCAGCTTGAAAGTGCTGCTTGATCCAGCCCACTGAGTCCAGGGACATATAAGGGGTCAGCTTGAAAGTGCTGATTGACCTGGTCCACTCAGACTTGCTCTGTTAATGTGTGTGTTCATCCATTTCCGGGCTGGGGAACATAGGTCCTGCAGGATAGCTCCATTGGGAGGGGACTTGCAGAAGGGAGAAGTAGAACTCCATATGAAAACACAAGTGACAGAAGCAGTACATTGATAGAATTACAGAACACTCCCCCTCTCCCGCAGAAGAGTAACCCTAATAAATGAGCATACCCCAAAGTAACGGACAAATCTGGTATCATAAGTGATGACCATGGATTGACCGCCTCACCAGTTCTTTCTCTACTGCAAATAACCATAGGTTAAGGCTCACAATAGAAGGAAGGATGTCAGGTAGTGGAACACAGATAGGGACTACTCATCTCTAAGAACTCCAGTTACTGTACAAGGTATGTAACTTTTCTTTCTTCTTTGAATTAGGGTCCCTATACGTATTCTACTCTAGATGACTCACATGCTGTATTAACTCAGGAGAAGGGTCCAAAAAAACCCTTTCTGTACTACAGATTGAAGGACTGTTCTGCCAAAAGATGTGGCTGCTGTAGAGAGTTGCAATGTACTGTTTTGTGGAGGCATGATCAGAGAGCCTTGTGTTGCTGCTTTACAGATCTGCTGAACAGGGATATCTCAAAGTGAAGCTTCTGATGAAGTGGGCCCTCACTCCTTGAGGGAGAGAGGTGGCTATTAACTCATAACACAGCAGGATGCAGCCTCAAATCCATTTTGAGCCCCTCTGTGAAGATACGGCTTCCCCCTCATCTGTTCACAAAGATGACAAACATTTTAAGAGATTTCTAAGAAGGTTTTGTCCTTTGTAAGTAGAATGCCAATGCGCTATGGACACCCAGAGTGCAGTGTCATGTTCTTTCTAGTGGCATGTGGCTTCAGACAGAAAACAGGCAAGTATATGACCTGGTGAGAGTTAGGTGAAATTTCAAGATTACTGTGGGGATGAATTTGGGGTGTAATCTTAAGGAAACTGTACCAATGGAAGACTGTAAAGATAAGTCTGCCACGAGGGCCTCCAGTTCACCTATTCTCCTGGCTGAGGTGAGTGCAACCAGGAAGGCATTCTTCATAGATAGGATAAAAGATGATGGGGTTCAAACAGAGCCTTTGTCCATATCAAAGGGATTAGGTTGAGGTCCCACATCAGCGTCGATTTTGGTATTGTCCTAGGATGGGTGAAGATCAAACACTTGTCACCAGGGGATGAAAGGTGCTAATAGCTTCCAAGTGCACCCAAAGAAGGCTGAGAAAGAGACTTGAATTTTTTTAATGAGAGGAGGTAATCCAAAAGAGTAGGGATTTCAGCATCTTCTAGGAGTATCAGACGATGCTGTAGAAAATGTCTTCCATTTTGCTGTATAGCATCTCCTTGTGGAATCTTTCATACTGTTGCTAAAGATGGATTGTACAGCTTTGAACACAACTCTTCTCTTAATTTTATAACATTTTAATTTTTTTTAATCAAAATGTCATATTATACCAAGTCAACCGCCTTACAGAATCTAAGCATGTTACATCAACATATGGCTATTAGCCAGGATGGGCAGGGATGGTATCCATAGCCTCTGTTTGCTAGAAGCTGGGAATGTTCTTATGTTCTAACACTGTTACTTTTGTGTACCAAACTTGTAACCTCATTAAAAAAAAATCAGCATAGTTCGACAACATCTATTTTCCATAAATTCACATTGATTGGCATTAATTATATTACCCTCCTTTAATTCTTGATGAATTAACTCCTATATTAGCTGCTCCACTATCTTACCCAGGAGAGAGATCAGACTGACAGGCCCAAATTTTACCTGGCTCATCCGGTTTACCTTTTTAAAATATCGGTACAACATTAGCTTTCTTCCAGTGTTCCAAGACTTACTGAGAATCAACATTAATGGTCTAGAAAACTCCTCAGAGGAGCGCTTTTAAAACTCTTCGAGGCATGTTAGCTGGAGCTGCTGATTTAAAAATGTCTATCTTTAGTAGCTGCTGTTTAACATCCTCCTGAGATACTAGCGAAAGGGAAAATATGTCGTCATATGATATGACTGGGTTATCTGTGTTTTTCCCAAATAAGGAACAAATATTTATTTAATACTTCTGCCTTTTCTGCATTATTATTGAGCTTACGAGGGACTCAAACAGGTAATGCCATTTTTGATAGAGTGCCACTCCCGTTTCTTTAATGGATTATGACCATTGATTTTAGCATTGTAATCACACGAATCATCCCACCAGGTTTCATTAACGCCAGCTAAATTGAATTCATGCTCATAAATGAGCAATTCTAATTCCTTTTGTTACCCAGGCTTCCTGCACTGGTGTATAGGCAATTAAAGAATTTCTTCTCTTCATGTCCTTTGGTTCCCTGGATTGATTTTGTTCTCAACATCTCAATTTTGTGCTAAACAAGTACTCATATTTCCTCTTTTTACCGTTCTCTTTTGTTATTAGTTTAATGCCCTCCTAATTTCTCTAGCCATTCTGTCCCTGAGGAGGCTGGTTTCCCTTCTATTGAGGTGGAGGACATCTGAACTATACAAGTCCTCTCTCCCCACAGAAGGTGGACCAAATGTTCTACAAAATTAAACCCATTCACCCTATATCACGTCACTTCCAGAATCTTCTACCTTCTGTCTTCCTTCAGTCCTGGGACAGAAAGGATCTCAGGGAAAATCACTTGGACGTTCTTTTCCTGAAGTCAGTTATCATCTGCCGTGATATCACGCAACAGTGTCATTATTGCCAGTTTGAACCATCCATCATCCATGGATCCTTGCCCATTGACTTCAAAAGCCTATGCAGTCTTAGAATTACATTTCATGTCTTGGCTCCAGGAAGAAAACACACCATTCTGTTGTCTGTCCATCTGTCCTTTGCAGAATGTTCTTTGAATTCTTCTGGGTATTGAATCCTCAACAAGAATGGTCTGTCTCTCTTAGACAGCTGGAGATGTTTGTGGGCAAGCTTGGTTTCTTACGGGTTGGGCCAAGCTGCCATCCACAGGTATGTTCCATACATCCCTCCATTCCCTTGGATCAGCTGGATCTTCAGAGATATCTTCCACAGTTCCTTGTCAAGAACTTGGTATTGATTGGAAACTTCTAGCTGTGTGGAATTCCTCCTGGTCCTCTTCTCTCTGGTGGCCATCGCTTACCCATCATTGTCTGTGTAGAATGTTGCCATGACTTCTTGCCCCTTATGAACTGCTAGGCCTCCTCTCTGACTTCTTCTCCCTCTGACTCCTTGCTGCCCAGCTTCTTTCTTCTTTGAACCTGGCATGCTGATGTTTCCTGAATGTGGCTGTCTAGAAACTTATCCGCTTCTCTGATTTTCAATAATGTCTCTACTTGCGCTCCATTCCAAGGCTCTTCTCCTCCAGCACAGCCACCAACTTGCACTTAATGCACAGGAAGTCCCTTCTGGCTTCAGGAAGAAAAGAAAATATGGCACATCCACTGTAGGTCATCTCCATTGCTGGCCATCTTGAAATCACATGTAGTAGCAAACCTGCAAGGAAAGCCTCTCACACTCTCTCTAAACTCCCTCATTAGCTTCTTCTGTTCATACCTTTAGAGTTTGCCTAGCAAGTTTCCCTGATTATATCAGCTCTGCCCCACACCATCAGAGAGCAAGGCACCAACAAACAGACCTGTGTCAACTGCCTACACAGGGGCCCATGGTCCAGCCTCCATAATCTATACCCAGAGGACAAAAAGTCAAACCACCTCACATATGAACATATAAGGTCCAAATAAATGGGGGCAGCCAACTAAATTAGTTTGCGAGAGAGCTGGACAGATTTATGAGTGTGTTTATATGACAGGGTTGCCTGTGATGGTGAGAGGCAGAGCTCAGCAAACTTGGTGTCCACTTCTGGTTTAGGTCTTATGCTCCTAAAAGCTCATGTTTCAGGGTTTCAGCTGTCCACATTCAGGGGTCAGAAAGGTATTCCATCTCACTCCCCTCCCTATGTATTTTTTTTAAATCTCCTTCTTCAAGGATTGGCATGGCTGGAGGTGGGACGTTGGACAGTGAGGGATAGGGCTCTGAGATAGCACCAAGCGTTCTCTCTCAGGTTGTTGGCTGGCTGGTTCTTGCTCATGTGCTCAGGTCTAACTGGTTGCCATATGTGGAGTTGGGAAGGAATTTTCTCTAGGTCAGATTGGCAGTGACCTTGGGGTTTTGGGGTTGTTGTGGGTTTTTTTTTTTTGGCCACCTTCTGCAATGTGTTAGTGATCACTTGCCAAGATCATCATTAAACATTTCCCTTCTATTGTGGGGGACTTGGGCACTGGTGCACCTCTATCCCTTCTATTCTCTAGGTACGTGTCACAGGCAGTCTCCTGTGATCTGCCATACTTTGGTCTAAGTTTGGTTGTTGGACTCAGTGTGCTGATGCAGAGTGATGTTGGCGGCCTGTAAGATACAGGAAGTCACATTAGATGATCTGGTGGTCCCTTCTGGCCTTAAGCTCTATGACTCTATAATGGCAGGAACTGTTTACAGGTTTTGTGCATTGTACACAGCTCCAGAAGGTTTATGCGAAGGTGGGATTCTTGGTGGGTCCAGATACTTTGTGCCACATGCTCGTCCAGCTAAGCTCTCCATTCTGGTAGGATCAGTCTTTTTATGGTTGGGAGAGGGACAAAGAGAAATGCTACACAGCCTGTTTCTCACTTCTCAGGAGAGAGAAGCCTGAGTTTTGTGGGGAGGAGAGGCCAGTTTGTCAGACTGTGCTTTTTTGGCCTATAAGCATCAAAGGTGAAGCTCTGCAAAGGTGTCATGTAGGCATACGAGGCCATGTGACCTAAGAGGATTAGACAACTTTGAACTGTCATCTGGTGGCTCCACTGATGCTGCATGATGAGATCCTGTCTGAGAATCTGTCCTGAGGTAGGGATGTCTTGGCACTGTTTGAATCTAAGGTTGCCCCAATAAGGTCTGTAGTCAGTGTGGGAACTAAAATTTACTTTTCTACCTTTATTTGAAGACTGAGTAGGGACTGTCTGTTTTCCCGTACTTCATGTAGAGATCTCCCATGAGTAACAAGTCCTTAAGGTAGGGGAACACTGAAGAACCCTTACAGTGGAGATGGGCTGTCACTAGCAATAGCACTTTAGTGAATACATTCAGTGCTGGTGAGAGGCTGAAGGGGAGCATTCTGCATTGGTAGTGGTCCAGGTCCTTGGTGAATCTCGGGAATCTCCCGCGTACATGATAAATGTCTATGTGGAAATGACTGTCCTTTAAATCAAGAGCTGAGTCCAGGGTGATCATTCTGAATCTCAGAATGCAGATAAAAACATTTAATTGTCTGACAGTTAGTATCAACCTCTTTTCTTCTTGGAGATGAGGAAATATCTTGAGTAAAACCCTTTTCTCCTATGCTGAAGAGGTACCAGTTCTGTGGCTCCCAGATGGAGTAGGTGGTCTACTTCTTGTCGGAGAATCCTCTTGTGGGACGGGGGTGGTCCGTGGAGAGGGACAGGGGGAGGGAAAGGAACTCAACTATGTATCCATTGGTGTTAATCTCCAGAACACAGATGTCAGATGTTATCAGATGCCAAGCCTGGAGGAAAAAAAAAGGCAGGCAGCCACCAAATGGGGCACAGGAAGGATCGTAGTGGGGCCTCATCATTGCAGGCCATTAGGAATCTTCAGAGCCTGTACTCACAGACTTGACAGGTTCAGCTTGGGAAGAACCAGCAGATGCTGCACTTGGGAGGGGACATAAAGCTTCCCTGAAGCAGGAGAGGTGTTTGTTGTCGTTGTCACTGACTGAAAAGTCCAGGTGCAGGACACACAATTCTTGAAACCTGGATCCTGGACATAATAACTAGGCACCCCCTACGGAGAAGAGCTTTGTGGAGTGGGGGAACCCCTAACCCTAAACTACTAAAAACTACACTTAAAAACTATTTACACATAAGAACAAGCTTGAAGAAGAAAAATGCTAGCTAATACCGTGGACACAGAGGGGTTCTGTCTTAGACCATGGGTGGTAAAAAGAAATGGAAAGGCAGTTGGTCCAAGTCAAACCTTCATGCCTTTGTTTTAAAGCATGAGGAAATGAGGGGTGCAGGCACGGACCAATGGACACTGCTAGCAGAAAGCTTCCAGTCTCAGGTGCATGGATCATACGGACACTTAGAGTGGAATATGCACAAGGACCACGACTCAAAGGAGGACTGCATCCATGTGCTCCATCCCTACACTGGCTTCCTATTCATACAAGTAAAAATAGATCTACATGTTTTTCAAACTCTCCAAGGTCTTGCTGTTTTCTCTCCGACCCTATACAAATCTATTATCTTGCCTATTTCACGGTGCTCTTCTTTGACTCTTCACAGGGATTCTGCCACACCACTGTAGGCTGCACCCTCTTTTGTTTATGGAAACTCTGCCTCTACCTGAGCCATTAAATTACCACTTTTCTTCAAGTCTGACTTTGAAACCTCCCTGTTCACTGAGCCTACAATTGGCACTAGACCACACTGATCTCACTTTTTTTCCTATTTACTACATCATTCTATTCTCCCCTTGTTACTGCAAGAATACTCACGTGTACCTTTATCAATTTCACAATTCAGTGCCTTTTGCTCTCACTGTACATCACTTTCCCTTTGTTTGTATGAGTCACTGTACCCAAACTGTTTAAAGCATTCTTTCTATTCTCCTGGTAACTGTAAAGTATTCTGTGGTAGTTTGTATGAAAATTAACTCTAAATTGCAAAAATAATTTAATGGTATATATACAAATGGATACAGCATATATAGGTCTTTATACTACATATAAACTTTTTATAGATATAATGTTAACATTTAACTGTAGTTTATTTTAAAATATTACATTAAATATTTTCTACCTCTGCTTCAAAGATACTTATTACAGAGGTCAAGCAATAGTAACAAATTCACACTCAACTGAATTCCTTTCTAAAAATTTTAAGCTTCTTACATAAATGAAGATGAACACCCATAGCTGCTTCTACCACTATGTTAGCATTTTTCCTGAGCCTTACCCTCCTCCTTGCATTTCTCTCTCCACAAAAGGTTATCCTCAGCCAGAATTCTCCAATAACGGCATGTCTGTGCTGCCTGCAGAAGGTCCTTGGGTTCCAGGAATGAAAGCACATATAGTGCCAACTGTAAAGAGGTAGGAGATTAATGTCTGTCATTCACAGAATACAGAGATTGAGATGCAGACAGTCAAAATAGATGTATTAAAACAATAAATTGAAATATCAAACAGGTCCAGAAGTATTAGAAAGCTACAGTACATTCCTATAGGAGCAAAGTACTGCTAGACAAAATAGTTTTAATAATACCTTGAGATCCATGAAAAAATGTCACCTGGGAAATATTTTCTTTAAAAGAAACGAGGTGCCAAGTGGGACCATTGACTATTGAGTGTAAGACCTATATAATAAAACTAAGTTATGCAAATTATAATTTATCAGAAACTAGAGATGATTAGTTTGTGGTAGATTATAATATTTGATCATTTAATTAATATTCAGCCCAAAGCAAGGTTATTGTGAGAAATGGATTTGACAGTGCAAAGAACAGTGGATATTTGCGGGACCAGTGAAAAAAATATGCTTCCTAAATAAAAGTTAGCAAGCAGTAAAAACTGAAGTCTAATTAAAAATGCACAATAAAACATTCACACAGAACACCAAGCTAAACAAATGACAAAGACACAGTTTTGTGATTCCTTAGTAAATTTACAAAGTAAGTTTCTGTAGTAGAAACAGTTTGTGCCAATAGAAACAAATGAACAAACAATGAATTTCAAAACAGATACTGGGTTGAGTGCAATGTTATCACAGCAAACACAAAAATATAGTGATTGTCCCAACTGTAAAATTGAAAACTGAGCTTGTTTCATATAGTAAGCATAAGATGACCCCATGGAATAAATTATCTTGCCATGCTTATATGCCATTCTGCAGAGCTTAAATAGTGGAACAGTTAAGTTCCATGTGTGCTTGAGTTGAAAAACAGTGTGCAAATGCAGTTGATCAAACAGGTATATAACCTATTTACTGAACAGAATGCAAAAATATTCTTTAATTTTACAAGATGTTTTATGGACTTCTAGGGTGCATAAGGGATATAATACATCATATTAATGTAGATTGTAGATTTCAGTATGTTTATGTGCTACATTTTAAAATTCCTATTAAGTACTAAGAAATAAAGTAGAATTTGAACTTAGCTAGATGGTAACATTAGAGGTTATTGAGTTAATTTAGTCACCAGCTGGCTGGATTAAACCAAATGGTGACCAAAATAAAACTAGACAGCTACATACAACCTGCTCTACTGTCATATATTATACAAACTCCTGAACATCAGTCCTGGACGAGCAACAGAAGACATCTAAAACAAAATCAAGGACATCAGTCCAGGATGCTACTGACACTGCTCTTCTGCTGACAGAAGTAACACACATCCATCCAATCACTGAAAATGAAAAACAGAGCGATAAACACAGGGTCCAAGCAGCAAATCCACATCAGTAGCTAATACATCACTGCAGAAAAAAGTTTTGAGAAAAAATTGGATAGGAGTGGCTAACAGAAAAACTATTTGTGATCAGAAAGAGTAGCTATTGACAAATGAGGCAGAATAATCTTCTCATTTATCATGGAGGTCAGGTTATCTACTCTGACCTCTAGTATGTGCCTTTGTGTTTTGTTTTTTTGTTGGCATTATTTTATTTACATTTAATAAAAAACAAAAAACGAAGTTGACCCACCCACAACCTACCTTCCAAACAAAACAAAAACACCCAAAAAGGAAGAAATAACAGTAGTTACTGAAGTCTGGAAATGTTGATTTTATGTGAATTACAGCAGACAGTTTGCATGTCAGTAAGACAGAGGCACATGAAATATATTCCATTTTTGTCTCTGGGTGTTTCTGATCAGATATTTTTAAACACAACTTACCCTACTTACATTAGGTGTAAAGATTTTGTTTAGAATCAATACTTCATTAAAGTATGTTAACTAACATGTTTTAAAATGCAACCTGTTTTAATCTAGATGTGGCCTAAATTGTATCAAAGGTCAGACCAGCTCACTGCTGGCGCTAGGATTGTGGGTGCATAAAGGTGGCCTAACATTTGTCCCAAACCCTTGGAGCTAGTCCCAAATGCAACTCAGACAGAGCCAAAGATTGGGCCCCTGCTGCCTAAGTGTTGTATTTAGGGCTATCATCCTTTAAAGGATTAGTGATATCCAGTAATGATGCATCATAAATATACATGTTTGAATTATTTATTGGGCATAGCTGAAGGGTAAAATCCTCTAAATTATTGGCAGTGTCTCTCTAAGTCACACTTCTTGCATTTTATTTCCTGGAGTGGAAGAAACTATGGAATTTTTTAGACTTGGTCCAAACAGTTCAATACCAATGATTCTTTCTAATATTTTAATGAGAAAAGCAAGATACAGTATCCCTTGCGTGCCAGTTTCTTTTAGAAGGACTTTCACACTAAAGAAAACTTGGGGAGGGAAGGCATATATTTGGCTTTTCCTCTACTGTATTCCCTTGCCATTGCTGAAGACATCTTTGAATAAGATCCCTCTTATACAAATCATTTTCATCTTCTGGTCACACCAGGCATACATTCATTCAATCACAACATTGTGTATGACCTCATAGGAGGTCATTATAGGTACTGATGAGTTTCTTTTGTTGCATTAATGTTCACGTTTCAGTAAGCAAGAAAGATATCTAGAAACTCCTAAACTAAACACAAGTAATTTCAATATTTAGCATTGGTATCAGGAAAAATAAATGAAAGGTAAATAGATTTGTGGTTAAGTATGACACTTTAATACTGGGAGGGAATTATTTTCTATACAAAAAGTTATTTTGGGGCATGACTACACAGCAGTTAAACACCTGTGACCAGCCCATGACTCAGGCTCATGGAACAGACTGTGGGGGCTGTAAAATTGTGGTGTAGATGTTTGGGCTTGTGCTAGAGCCGGGCCTCTGGATCCTCCCGCCCCACAGCCCAAGCCTGGTGAGCCTGTCAGCTGCCATAGGCCAGCTGAGGGTGTTTAATTGCAGTGTAGACATAGTCTTTAAGACTAAGAGCAAGAACAGCACAAATGATACACAACATAAGAAGAGGATTATTTGTAGTTGGACTAGTTTTGGTGCTAAATCATGTGAGGGCAACTGAGATTTAAGCATTGGTGATATTCATTACATGTATCCAGTTTTCCAAACTGTAGGCGTGAAAGCATCTTCCCTCCTTTCAAAATGTAAGATTCCTACACCTCCCCCCCCCACCCTTCTTGTGCTTCTGAATTATAGAAGGCTTTGGGCAGCTTCTCTAGGAATAACATAACATGGTATGTTTCTTTCCCCATAGTATTCCTCTCAAACAAGCGAAGGACTCCAAAGAAACTGGGTGCAGAAAACACGTATGTCAATATTAGTTACATGAACTGTGCATATTTAATATTCATAGTATATATTACTTCCATCCCCTAACAAAAGTGATCCAATTAACCCCAAAGGATGGCTATGACACTTTCCACAGTTATGAAGGTACTACACTAGCACATGAAAGGAAAAGAGGGGCCATGACCTATCTAAGTATTAAAAATATATAGCTTACGCTGAAAGGAATGCCAGAGAATGGAACATAAGAACAGTCTTAATACACATGAAGAACATACGGAACATATTCTAACACCAGCATAAGATTACTAAGAATGCTTTAAAAGGTGTAAGAAAAGAAAAATCTACATTTCTACCAAGAAAATCTCTTCGCTAATAAAGTAATTAAAACCAGAAACAAAATTTTTAATAGGGAACAAACTAGTAGGTACTGGGTAGTTGAACACCCACGTGAAAAAGCCAGGTATACCATAAAAACCAGTCAGCAGTAAAGCCACTAATTTTCACTAACCCTCTAATAACTAAGAAATTTGTTTTAGGGCTTGGATATCTAAGGCTTGGTCAACATAGCTATGTCGGCCAGGAGTGTGAAAAAGACAAAAAACCTCCATTGCAGATTCAGCTATGTCAGTGGAAGAATGCTTCTGTCAACGTAGCTAATGACATTCAGGAAGGTGGTGTTCATAAACCAACAGAAAAACTCCTTGGTCAGTGTACACTCGGCCTGTGCTAGGGGGCTATGCTCCCATAGCCTCCATAGCATAGACATAGCCTAATGGACCACCTCTCTCCTACTACTCTATACCAACTGTGGACTACTTCAGAAGTACTCTCACCAACATTCCTTAGGCTGTATGTTCTCAATGGAGGATCCTTGAATCTAGTACTTGCTTCCCTATTGACCTGACAGAGTCTGAGTTGTTGACCTGCAGGGTATATTGAAAGATATTTGTTTACCCATGGGATCGACTAGGGGTTAGAATAAGGGGATTGGAGTTTTCGGGTCCTTGTTGCTGGGGAATTTGTCAAGTTCTCTTTTAATTATATAAGTAACATTAATAGACTTAATGCAGATTTAATAATGCATACACTTGGAGAATGATAGGTGCATGTTACAAATCAAGAATAAATTTGTATATGTTGAGTATTTTGTTGTCTCTTCAAAGTGTGGAGGGGATGATGATCAAAACGTACACGCTGATGATACAGAATGTATGCAAGACTAAATCTGGCAAATCAGTCAGAGACAAGACACTAAATAACCGGAAGGAAAACGTGGTTAAAGAAAACCTATCTAAGCTGAAAGAACTCAAATGACTTATAGTACAACATGGAACTTACCTCAGTAGTTGAAAGAAAGTCACTTGGACAGATTTTTTAAAGTTTTTAAGGTGCCTAAAGATGGAAATAGGAACTTCTGAAAATCCCAAACGGTGCCTAAATATCTTCAAAAATCTGGCCTTTATCTCAAAATCATACATTAATCTGAGAATTACATTAAGACATGGCAGTTTGTCAACTTGTAGTCCTCTTAACACCAATTAACAGTGTTAAATTGACAATACTGAATACCATAATTAGTATGGAAATGTTTAAAGGTGATAGATGATGCGTTACATAGTCAAACAGCAACCATAGCCCAGCATTAACTGATAATCCTCACCTCTTTTGGGAGCAAGGAAATAAAATCTCGTTGAAACTGGGGCTCTATCACTTGCATCATATGTTTCACTTGTGTTGGTTCACAACTATCAATGAGTTCATCTAAAGCAAGTAACTTCTCTGGTCCACTCCAGCTCTATAAGAGAGAAAGATATGTTCAGTGTTTGTACTATTTTAGTATACACTACTTACAAGCTACCTTGAAAAAAAGTGAATATGCAGGATACCCAACGACAGTGTGTTTAAGGCTTCCTATGGGTAAATACCTTACCCACACAAAATAATTTGTGAGATTTTTTGTGATAATCATTTGAAATTAAGCAAAATAAAATTGATGGAAAATGTTTAGAACCCAAACTCAAGTGCCAATAGAGAAATGTATCTATTGTGTTGATGAGTGTGATCTATGACATTAAAATACAACATGAATAGCTAAAAAATTGTACATCGTTTTAAAACCAATTTAGAATGTGTTGAGAGTGAAGTGATTAATGCAAGAGTACTCACTCCAATGGGTATTCAAATGAAATGTCCAATTTCAGCCATCAAAATTCCACTGTTTCATTAGAAACTTTAAATAGGGTGTGGGAAGAGAACCAAACCAAAAAGCACCAAGTGGCAACTTTCTCTAAAATACATCACTTTGCTTATTGCCCAAAGGTTATTACTACTATATGTTCATCTGCCACAATGTTATATTTCAGAATCCTGGCTGTAAACCAATATTTGATTTTGTAAACACCAGTTTACTAAGTAAACAGGGAATTCTGACTAGTAATTTTCTTACTTCACATTCTTACTAATGGGCAGCATAAAATTTGATGATTTTAAATAGGCACTCATCTGAGAGTACAGCAGATTAGCAGCATCATTTGCAGAAAAATTAATAACTGAAAATATGGCATATCTGACAAGCATGTCTTTCTCAAACTCATCTGTGCTCAACAGATTTTGATTTGTTATGCAAAAACAATTTCAAGAGAAAAAACAATAGAAAACTGATTTAGCAATCAAATTAGAGCATGAAGAGGACAGAAAATGAAACAGCAACAGTGTTTTCTAAGTAGATTTATATTCATATTTTTGAACATATGGGTTCTAGAATGGCATATGCAAGTAAATTAACACATTACATTACAGTTGAAAGGGCTGACTGAAATATGAGAAAGCAAGATAGCTTAGAATTAAGATTCATATACCACCTTAACCTGTGCCTCAAGACATAGATTTGCCATATTGTGCATTATCATTCTTTGGATTTGAAATTAGGGTATATTATTACTGACCATGTACTGCAATGCCTAGATGTAGTGAGGCAAGTTAAGGATAGAGTAGAAGTCAGAAAGATGAACTGTGAGTAGAACAGTAATTTACTCTTCTTTATGATGTAAAAAGTTATCTTTGTAGTTTTAAGAATTTTTTTTAATTAACTCATTAGTAATATTAGGAAAATTAGCTCCTGACTTAACACTTTTTGTTGGAAGACATTGGCAAGGTTTGAGGACTGAGATGCGATGTTAGAGGAGACTGAAACCTGAACCATAGCATTCCCTGCTGACAACTGACGAGATGATGTAGACTGGCAGAAGTATGTCTGGGATTTAAAAATTTAAAAATATATATTTTTTGAAAAACATGATCTCAGTGGAGGTTTCAAAGATGCTCCTATCAACAGCTTTTAGAGCTTTACAATAGGACAATAAACCATAGATATTAAAACTATCAGACAAACAATAAACCATACTTCTGAAAATCCTTTTAAGTAAAGTAGTTAGTGTACATATACAGCAGCTGCTTATCTCATCATCTGTTTTAAAACTGTTCTGTTTTTTATTCCAAGACACTAGTTGACACTATCTAGAAATGTTTGCAACATTTAATCTGATCAAACTACTTTTGAATTATAGGAAAACAAAAGAGAAAATACACTGAAGCCACGGTATGTGTATTAGTCTCTCATAACTTTCAAAATCATTCTAATCCAATTCTGTTAGTAATTAATATAGTAAAAATAATTCAAAGAACTTGAATATCAACATTTTGTGCTGTGGCAGATGTTTGCTGTAGTCGTAAATCGATAAAAATTGTTAATGCCCCCTAAATTCTGACGACAATATTGCACATCAGTTTAAGTATTCCTTACTCTTATCTTTACTGATAAAATACCATGTAGAACTAAAATGAGAGGCACACACTGTCTCCCTCCTCCTCCCCCTCCACAGGGGAAAACAAACTTTAAGACAGTGAAATCTATTCCTTCAGCTTTATAGGTTGGCTAGAGGCAACAACCTTAAGACCCTTCCAAGCAATCAACTGCTAAAAGATGTTTACTCTAGGGAGCTCTCCCGATTGGTCTTCCAAGTTTTTAAAAATAAACTGGTAATAGTCAGTAAGAGATCTCTGAGGAAAAATATTTGGTGTGGAAAATTTTGTTGCGTGAGTAGTCTTGCCAGATAAATACAACTATATATATTAATGGGGGAATGACATAATTATCTTCATTAGATTAGCATCTCTGTGATCTATAGATTGACCTGTTAGCAAAAAATGGCACACAGCACATTCAGCAGAGACAGAGGGGAAGGAGTAAGTGTGCATTTTGTATAAACAATAACAGTGAACATGTTTGTAAACTAAAAAGTAAAGTAAATAGGTGCCAAGCAATGATGCAAAATTTCAAACATTTTTGTTACTGAGCAACTCAAACATTTTAGATTCCTAAAAATGTTCCAGGCAAAAAAGCTCCATTAACCTTCCTCCACATTCATGGGAATGTTGTACCCTGTGAGCATATATGTTGTGATAATTCATGAACCAGTGGCCCTCCAATTATGCAGTTTTAGGACACAGTTACCTAGGCACATGAACTCAATTCAGCTAAATTAAAAAAAATGTAATTTAGCATGAAAAATATTTTTTCTGTATTAAAACAGTATGTGGGGCACAAATGTAGCCCAAACATATTGCACTATCCTCTGTTTTTAGTAGCTCTGTGTACACATTTGCTTCTAGTGCGAGTATCTTGTACTGTAATAGTTAGCAGACGCTAACTGGATAATGGATTGCAGTGACAGCGGTTGCTGCATACAGTTACCCTACGGTAGAAGGTACTCCAGGGAGGTTGGTCCCTTCAAATCCGGGCTTGTTAGGTATCCTCAACACAGTGGACTAATAGTGGCTCTCTGCCTACCACTCTTGAGGGGATTGTCTGTCTAGGTATTGTGCTCCAAACACTGCAGACTAACAAGACTCTTGAGGGCATTTTCTGTGCTGCGCAATTCAAGAAGGTGAACAAACGGGCATGATATTCTGCTTCTGATCTTAGAAAAATTATTTGCAACTCTGACAGTAAGTTGTTTTGTGATGACAGCTTATTAGATGACAGTGAAGTTGTGCCAGATCATGTCAAGAGTAGCTCTAAAAAGGAAGACTACATTTCCATTGACTGTTCATCAGGTTCATTTTCAGATGATGAGGAGCTTATGTTCAGCCCTGGTATAAGACTGGAAGAAACATAGTTGGGGATAACTTCACCAGTATTAAGCTTACTGAAGATCTACTTAATGAAAATTTGGCCTATGTTGGAACAATCCAATGAAACAAGCCAGATGTACCAAGTGAGATGCATCCACATTGGAGCAGAGAAAAACTGCCATCAGTGTTCAGGTTTGCTGGGCCACTTACCCTGGCTTCCTATGTTCCAAAGAAGGGCAAGTTGGTAATACTACTATCGACGATGCATCATGACAAGGTTCTAGGAGGAGACAAAAAGAAACCCCACATAATTCTCCATTATGACACTAAAAGTGCTGTCAACAACATGGACCATCTTGCAAGAATGTACTCCTGTGGGTGCAAGATAAAAAGGTGGCCAATGTTTCTTTTCTTCAACATGCGTGATGTTGCTGGAATCCCGGGTTCCTTATTTGAGTCAGCAGTGATCCTGCTTGGCACCACACTCAACGAAAACAAGGCACTTATTCCTTGTCAATCTAGGAGAATGACTCGAAGATGCACATATAAAGAGAAGAATCCTTGATATCCATCATCTCACCATGCCCATCAAAGCAGCACTCTAATCCCTTGACTACTATCAAAAACCAGATACCATGGGATCACCACCCTGCAGACTTGGCAGTGGATGCTGCCACATTTGCTTATGATCATTTGACCACAAGAGCTGCAAGCAATGTGGAGAATGCAGTGCATTTGTATGTGCTGACCATGCCACATCAATGCAGATGTGTGAAAACTGCATGTAGGCTCACACTGAATGAAACTCCAGCTAGTTCTTTTACTTTGCTAGTTAAATAAAGGTTTTTCTCCCTAAAGTATTAAAAAATTGTTCTTGATTTCTGAACCCATTTGGGCTATAAAGATGTCAGCCTCACTCCCTCCTTTTTTTCCTCCCACTCCTGTTTTTGTGCCTTACTATCAAGAAGCATTTATATAATATTTAACACTGTAATAGTAAAGACCACTATATGGACTAAAAACATATATTGTGGACTAGCTGGGTGGAGGCAATTAGATCTCTTTCCTACTCTGAGCATATTCATACTTTGACCTGCTCTAGGTTTAATCTAGGTTATTACTTTTTAGAGTGCTGTTGAATTCTTTTAATGGTTGAAAGGTGTGTCTTACAGAGATACCTGAAGATGGAGGGAAGGGGCTCTTCCTGATCTCCTTTTGGGAGGGTGAACCAGTGTGTTGGTTTTGCTGTTGAAAACACTGTCTTCAGTTCCATCAAACATTTATTTGGATTGGATAAACGTAGTGTGCAGGGCAAAACATAACTATGTTGACTGAAGCTGTCATGGGATAAGAGGGAGGGTCCTCTCATGGATTGGTAACTGGTTAAAAGATAGGAAACAATGGGTAGGAATAAATGGTCAGTTTTCAGAATGGAGAGAGGTAAGTAGTGGTGTCCCCCAGGGGTCTGTACTGGGACCAGTCCTATTCAACATATTCATAAATGATCTGGAAAAAGGGGTAAACAGGGAGGTGGCAAAATTTGCACATGATACAAAACTACTCAATATAATTAAGTCCCAGGCAGACTGCGAAGAGCTACAAAAGGATCTTTCAAAACTGGGTGATTGAGCAACAAAATGGCAGATGAAATTCAATGTTGAT